TTCTCTTCACTTGTTGAAATTTGTAGCAATTTACAAGTTGAAGTTAAGCCGAGATTATTCTTCTCTTCACTTGTTGAAATTTGTAGCAATTTACAAGTTGAAGTTAAGCCGAGATTATTCCTTAATTTACTTTTTGAAATTTGTAGCAATTTACAAGTAGGTTAGACCGAGATCACTGTTTAAATACTTTTTGAAACTTGAGAAAAAGTTTGCAAAAGTTAAACATCGAGTAGTATATGTTTCATACTGGTTAAAATTTATGAAAAGTTTGCAGGTCAGTATCTTGCCGAAGTAAAAGTTTTGTAGTTATTATACCCGAGGTATGTAACCCCGAGAAGATTGCACAAGGAAGGAAGAAGTATGTAAAGCATGCAAAATATTCTAAGTATAGAAACCATGCAGAAGCAATCAAGAGAAATTGAAGATTAAAGCATTCAACAAAAACAGGAGGAACATCGGCCATGTGAAGAAGCTTATATTGTCCAGGAAACAAAAAAAAAAAAAAGTACCAAAGACAAGAAAAGAGAGACATCAAAGTTGTGGTTCCTCAGCCTCAAGAGCAACTTTGGTTTGGACCTCTGCAGATTCTTGAAGAGCTACTTCGGCCGCCTTCTCCATTGCAAGTTCTGCATCAATCTCGGCAAGAGTTTCATCAACGCTCTTGCCAATTTGAGGAACATCAGATGATGCTTGCTCAGGAGTGGTCTCCTTGATAACCTCCTCATCCTCCTCATGAGTCAAGTCTAGGACTTGATCATCTTGAGGAGGGGACTTGGTCTCACTAGTATCCTTGGGTTTCCTTACCAAAGCTTCATTATCATCCTTATCCTCATCCTCAGATTCAGACTCAGATTCATCTTCAGCTTGGCTTAGAGGTGAAGGTGGAGGAAATGGAAGAGGAATAGCGTCGGCTTGGCGCAATGGTGAATTCTCAGGAAGATTAAGTTTTTTTGCAAGGGCCATCCAACCAAGGGAGAAGCCCCTGTTGCACACCTGCCTAACTTGTAGTTTGTATTCTTCTGTAACATCGGCTATTCCTTGAGCATAGGCCTTTTCGTCGGCCGCCTTGATTTTGGCGTCTTTAGTAGATAACGCATCTTGAAGTTCCTTTTCCGCTTGGGCCTTTTTGTCCTCGGCCTCTCTCTTTTCGGCCTCGGCAACCATCTTAATAGCCTCGGCAGATTCGGCCTTCTCCTCGGCAAGGGTTTGGGCTTTGGTGGCAGCCTCAGCCTGGTCTTCCAGTTCTTTCATCTTTGATTCGGGAGTTTTGTTCTCCTTTTTCAGGGCAGAAACCTCCCTCTTCATGTCAGCCAATCTTTGCCGATTTCAAAAGCTTGCATTGAAAACGAATGGGCATGCTGGATGGCCTGAAAGAAAACAGAAGTGTTAGAAAATATTTTAAGTATGAAACATAAAGAAAGTAGAAAGTTCCAAGCAGGAACACTTACTTGAACGGAGTGCTGGAACATTAGAGCGTAATTCTCGTACTCACTATACTCAGCATTTCGCTCGAGGTCACCCGGAAGAAGCAACGCCGTGCTGAGGGCAACGCCGACATTTATGTCGTTGGCGCTTTCATTGGACATAATTGGCCTGTCTTCCAAAGTAATTTTGGGAGCCCTAGGGACATCCGGTTTCTTGGACCCCGAGGTAGTAGCTGAGGCCGACCTTGGCTTCTTTGACTGTGTGGACTCAGAGGGTGGGGTTTCAGCAGACCTTTTTGCAGGAGCAGAAGAAGCCTTCTTACTCTCAACCAGTTTGGAAATAGGCAAAGTGTCCTCAGATTCAACCTGAGTCACTTTGGCCTTTGGCTGAGCCCTTTTTGTTCTTTTTGGCTTTGGTGGCGGCATGGATTAGGTTGGTTCAGCATCAGTATCAACTGGGAGGTCGGCTAGGAGATCTTGGGCAACAGGCTTCGGGCGACCCATCTCAGCAGTTTTGACAAGTCGTCGCCGACGTTTTCTTTCTGGTATTGGGATTAAGTATGGGGCCGAAGTAGATGGTTGATTGGTTGGGTCAGATGTTGACTCTTGATCTGTTCGTGATGTAGAGGCGGTTTGAGTTGTGGCAGTAGGCGGAGAAAGGCTTTTCTTCTTTCGTTTGGGAACGTCGGGCAAAGTCGACTTGTACGTCGGAATAAAATTCAGTACCAGTGGAGCCTTGCGCTTTTGGATTGGCAGATCTAGGAGCCTCTTTAACTCTTTGCTGGGAACGTAGGATTGGCGAAAGTCTTTTGGTAGCTTACGAACGTCTGCAAGAAGAAACAAACATTAGAAACAGATAAAATATTGAAGACTTGAACAGAAACAACTAAATATTGACACTGGGCTCTTATCCTTGCCCTCTTTAACTGATTGGGGAAGAGGGTAGAGATGGGCGTCCTCGTCTGCGCCAAACTCCCAATTTCCCGAAGCAATAACATAGTCATCTCCAATTCCCTTGTTGGAGTCTGGGAGGTCGGCTACAATTTTGAATTCAGTGGACCTCGGCTTAAGATAATAGACGAAGCCTTTTTCCTTCAGGTTAAGGGGGCATATGGTATAACAGTACTGGATGTCGGCAAGAGTGATTCTAGCATTCTCCTGCCTAGCTAAAACTACAATGCCATTGATCACTCGATAAGAGTTTATGGCAAGTTGCATAGGGTTCAACTTGTAAAAGTGAAGAATTTCGCGAAATAGAATGTTAAGTGGGAGCCAGAGTCCGCACTCAGTAAAAGCTACTATGGGAAAGGGCATTGAATCATCTGTGGGCATGATGGAGTCGTTATCTTCAGCCAGCCGAATATGGACATCGGCAGGAATAGAGAACTCCCGCCTAAAGTACTCAAGTTTGGTCGAGGTGTCTACCTTATGTCTCCACATACCCATAACGTCGGCCTAAAATCAGAAGGCTAGGTTTCAGAAAGAAGATACTCTTAAGGGGTTATCAGGACCTCGGCAAACCCTAGGTATATACTGGTAAGGATTGTTTCAGTTTTTTCCTAAGAATTGACAGGTTCTATAGACAAATCTCAAACCTAAATCTATGAAGGCAAAGATTGAAAGCAAAAATTGAAGGCAGCGATCTGACAAAGACACAAAAAACAGAAAACAAAGGCGAAATTTCAGAAACAAGAACAGGGATGGGCTGTCAAGAACATGAAGAAATACGAGAAATAAAGGACCAAGATCAGTGGCAAAAATACCGTGAAGTGGTGCAACGGTGCATGTGTTCAAGGTATAGGCAAGGGCCAAATCAGAGAGTAAAATGAATGATTCACAAGATAGATATTTGAGCAAAGCAGTAATAACAGGAGATTCCAGAAATGATCAAAAATTGAAATCAGAAGGAACAGTTGCTTACCGAAAAGAATGAAGCCGATGTGAGAACTGCCGAAGTCAGTCGGTAGTTACAGATGTGGCAGAACGCCGAAAGTTCCACCAGAAAGACAGATACAGAGCTTAGAGCTTAAGCAATGGCGGACTCGAGAGAAAAAGTTTTAGAGAGAGAAAAAAGCAAAAGAACTTAGATGTAAAAGTGAACAGACGAAAGCAAAAGATAGTGTCATTGTTGAAAATGTAAAACGACGGCAAAATAAGGTAATTATTGCGCCTGGAAAATCGCATGCGTCAGACGGCGCAGACAGATTAAGACGGCTAATAAGCGCGTCGCAGGCACGGACCAATAAGGTAAAGACGCGTAAGAGGAACGGTTGAGAAGTAATGCATGACAGCTCATGCGCGTGGGAAAGTTCATTCGAGTTCTTGTTCTTGAAAACAAGACGTATCGGCTTGACAATCTCGACCGAAGAGTTCTTACACCGAGGTAATAGAAGAAAATACAGATATAGGTTCCATCACCTCAGAATGCTGAGGTAATAGAACCTAGGGGGCAGTTGTGGGGATGTACTTTCCGAATACCAACACGTGGCAAGGTGACGCCGACGTGTCAGCCGAGGTGCCACGTATCCAGGTTGTAACGCCGAGGTTATCTCGGTAAGGCCCACGTTATCTCCGAAGATATCGGAATCCGAGATAAGCGGATAAGGGACAAGAGTCCTAGAGAAAAGAGAAAACTTTACTAAGATAAGGATAAAGTTCTTAGGGAATTTTTCTTTATCTCTTGAGGAATCCAAAGTAAGCACTGAATTGGAATCCATAGAAGTTAGGCTTCTAGTGGGATTTGGATTAAGTAAACTATAAAAGAGAGACACCCCCGTGGGTCTAAGATACGCAGTTTTATGTTTAAACTTGTGAGTTTAGCACTTGATTATCTTTGAGAGATATACTGACTTGATCGTCGGTGTACCCCCGGGTGGAAGAGCCACCGCCGGAGCCTTTTCTTTCTGTTACAGGTTTGCTGAAGCCATCTATTCTGCCGGTGCAGTCCAGCTGATTACTAGGCGAGCAGTGTGGTCGGAAAATCACCTACACATTTATATATATATATATGTATATAATACAAAGTAATTTTATATAATATGTTTCATATATATATAACTACTAATTTGTAACAAATTCCACATCTTAAGGCTTTGTTTGGTTTAGTTTTAGAATTATGATTTGAGTGTGGAGTTATAATTTATGTGTGAAATTGTGAGTTGAGTTTTGAAAATAGAAAATTTGTTTGGTTATGAGTTTTGAAAAGAGTTTTGAGTTATATTTTGAGTTTTGATATTTTGAATTTTGAGTTGTATTTTGAATTTTTTTATTTTTTTATTTTTAAATATTAAAAAATGTTTTAAAAAATTTATTTTTTATTTAAATTTTGTTTAAACTTTTTTATTTTAAATATTTTATTTTATTTTGTAAATATTTTAATTGTTGTAATTTTAAAATTTTAAACTCAAAATACAACTCCACACTCAAATCGTAAACCAACACATAACTTAAAGTTCAATTAAAAAACTATTTTCAAAATTCATAACCAAATATATAATTTGAAACTCCACACTATTTTCAAAACTTCACACTCAAATTGTAACAAAACACATAGCAAACAAATTAAAATAATTTAAAACAAATTTATAAAATAAAAAATATTTAAAATAAAAAAAATAATTTTTTTTAAATTTTTTAATATTTAAAATATTTTTAAAAAATACAGCATACAAATGAATGAAATATAGCACAAATTAAAATAAATAAATAAATATTTAAAATATAAAATATCAACCCTAAAAAAAATTTAAGAACTTTGTAAATATTTAAAAAAAATAAATCTAAAAAATTTTAAAATACAATTCAAAACTCAAAATATGACTCCAAATTATTTTCAAACTTATAACCAAAAAAAAAAAAATTTCTTTTCAAAACTCAACTCAAAACTCAAAACACAACTCACACTCAAATCATGATTCTAAAAATAGTTTTAAAAACAAAAAAAAAAGAATTTTTGTTTTTTTAAATAGAATTTTGAGTTGTGTGTTTGGTTATGAATTTTGAAAATAATTTTTAAATTGAGTTTTGAGTAATTTTGAGTGGTGTGTTTGATTATGAGTTTTGAAATTTTTTGATTGGAATCATAATTCCAAAAGAGAACCAAACATAACTTAAATCTCTCATACACTCATTTTTACTTTGATATTTCATTAGATGTTAAAAAATATAGGATAAATTACCAATAGATCCTATTTTTGGGACTTATTATTCATTAAATCTTATTGATAAATTTATCAAGTAATAAATTTATCAGTCTCTCTTGTTTTTATTAATAAATTTACGGTGATAAATTTATCAGTCAGGATCTATAGGTAAATAAGTTCAATTAATAGGACTGATTGGTAAATATCCCAAAAATATATATGTATTAACTATAACGGAGTGGAACAATTTGAAAATCAATAAATTTTAAAGTTTAATCCGCGGTTAGCAGATAGAGCGGTGTGGATTGATACGGATCAGCGTGATTTTGGTTTTAGCAGATTAGGTGATATTTTATATAGCTCTAGTGGTAACGATAGCAATGGTAATAGTAATAGCGATAATGATGGTTGTAATAGTAGTAGCGACAGTGGTGGTGGTGGTGATAATAAGTTTATAATAATTAATATCAATAATTGCAGTATTTATAAATTCAGTTACATTAAGTAAGTTTTATATGATTTAAAATTTTCTTAAGTTTTAGTCTATAACTTAAGAGGCATTGAAGTTTTTAAGTGATATTAATTATGATTATCAAATGAGTTTAATTAATTATTAGTTAATACATTCAGTTTTAAGTGCTGAATCAAATTATCAAATACCCCTCAACTCAAACTCTACTTTCTACATATTTTTTAATAAAAATTTGAAAAATCTTTTCCAATTATAAAAACAATACTCAATTAATACACATTAATATGTGTTTTCCAATTATATTCAGTGTGTTTGGTTTGAGTTTTTTGGATTAAGTTTTTTGAAAACTGAGTTTTTTTGATTTTCGTGTTTTTTTGTTTTTAGTGAATATTTTTAAAATTTTAAACATTTTTTTTTTTTACTTTTTTAGATGCACCTTACTTAGTTAGATGTATCTAAAAAGTAAAAACTTGTGAAAAAATATTTTAAAAAATTAATAAATATGTCAAAATACAAAAAAATGTATTGAATTTTCATATTTTTTTTGTATTTTTGATATTTAGTTAATTTTTAAAAGGTTTTTTTATATTTTTTTTACTTTTTAGGTATATTTATGTTAGGTATGTCTAAAAAGTAAAAACAATTGCTTAAAATATTAAAAAAAAATCAGTAAAAACAAAAAAATACGGAAAATAAGAAAGTGGGCTCTGTTTGGTTGCGTTTTCAAATTTCAACAATGTCACTCGCGCTTCACGTTTGAATACCACTTTCAAAATACAATTCCACCTTATAATTCAAACTACAATTTGAAAACTCGTTTGGCAGCCTTGTGATTCATTTCTCCACTTTCAACGTTTCAGCCTTGTTCTTTTTCCTTTCTTAAAAGCTTCCATGTCCGTCGTCTCTCTGAAAAGTTTCACGTGAACTGATTTATTCATCTTTATCTCTTTGCGTCAAAGACCAGGACTGAAGATTCGTCACGGATAGTATTTATAGAGAACCCAAACCATTTTATCAATGATGAATCTTGTGAACCCGCTCCCTGCTCATACCATCTCCCCACAAATCGAGTGACTTACAATTTGTGCGTTGTGGACGATTCCTTCTACGGGCAACCAAACAACGACGAGTGCGAGGTCAAATAACTCAGCAATTTATTTCACATATTTTCTTATCGGTCACTAATTTGAAAAAATTATCCCTAATTTTATTCCAATTATTTATTTCTCTCAGGTCAAATTCATGAAACCTATTGTCGAATCAGACGATTAGCAAAGAGTCGCACATTCAGTCACTATACGTACTTTATCACCGGCGATTACTATTCAACTCGCACTAATCTGGTAAATATATCATTCATCTGTTATGTGCAAATGATTTCTGAGAAGTCAAAATCAGTTCTCAAATGATTTATGAGAAGTCCAAACGAGTATACAGATAGTTTGAGATAAGAAAAATGATATGTTTGAACTGTTTGCACCTTTTGCCAAGCAAAATAGCTGAGCCAGTCGTACTCGGGTTATCCGGCCGGTCGTCCCCCTGGTCATCCGGCCGGTCGACCTCCTTTTGCCCTTTATTTCTTCTTCTGGTAGTTCTTCTACGTATTTGTTCCTTCTCTTCTCGTGGCCTTCTTCTTTTACTAAATTTTTGGTTATTTTTTTAGTATTTAAATACAGACAATGTTACATGATTTTTAGGATTTCATCTGTTTCTCCTAACATTATTTAACAACTTGAAGTAAACATTAATGCTATGTAGTTTTTATTTATTTATTATTATTTTTTTTATCTATGTTGTCCTTCAAAACATCTGCTTTTGTTAACATTATTTATATACTTGAAAATAAATATTAGTTTTCGTTCCTACATAAATAATTGTTGCTCTATTCTTTTTTTATATCCACACCCAGAGTAGTTTACTGTGTTATTATTTTATATCCACCCCAGAGTAGTTTAAATATAATTTATATGTTTATAGATGGATGTAAATAATTCCGATGACAATCAAGATACCAAAATGTGGACTCCTAGAATTGAAATGAAATTAATAAACATGATGAGGGAGGATGTTAAAAAAAATCAAACAACGGGCCGTACTACTTCATGGACAATTAGACATTGGAATCATTATGCAAATCAGTTGTACAATTTGTATGGATTTCGGTATACAGGAAAGCAGGTGCGACAAAAAATATCAGCGATTGAAAGGTGATTACTAGACATTTAAGCGACTCCAGGCACAGACTGGTTTGGGATGGGATCCCATTATAGGCACTGTTGTTGCACCTGATGAATTTTGGGATAAGGTTTTTCATTAACCTGTACCATTTTCAAATTTTTCCTTCATACATTTCATGACACATACAGTATGCTTGAAACATATTGATTGGAGGGAGGGTTGAAAATTTTCCTCCAAAATTAAATATAGTATTCAATCTATTTGTTTGGAGGGAATGTTTAAAAAAATTAATTTCTTTATAATAAGTGACCTTTTTTTTTTTTATCAATTATGACTTCATTAAATATTATTAATAAATACTATGCAACAATTTTTATTTTTATTTGTTTATTTATATATATTTTTATTTATTTATAATTTATAGTTATATTTTTTAATTATATAATATTAATTATGACGTCACGGTTCGACTGCTTTGACCCGACGGTTGAACCGGTGACCCGTCCACCCGGTTCCTTTTCCGGTTCACTCACCGGTCCGGTTTTGAAAACATTGAACTTGGGGTCTCTGTCAGACACTATGGATACTGGAACTCCATATAATTTCACAATCTCATTGACATACAAATTATCCAACTTATCTGCATTATACAAAGATTTGACAGGCAGAAAATGAGCATACTTAGGGTTTGTTTGGGATGACGTTGGGCCGTTCAGCAACTGATTTTCATGGGTGGTTTAGTCAACGGTTCATAATTGGTTAACCGCTGTGCGTTACTGTAGACCCCCGCACACCAAATTACTGCCTCACCATGACTTAAAACCCTCCTCCCTCTCTCCCTCTCTCTCTCTCTCTCTTGTACATCTTCGATCTGAGTCTCCACGGCGGCGCAACCACTCAACCAAACCGCACTACCAAGCTTCGTTAGAACTCCTCCATCTTCAACCAGGTTCAATTTCTCTCTCCATATATATATATATATATTTGTAGAACTATGTATATGGTTTGTTTAGAATAGCCACTTTCCAAACACCCACTTGGGTTGGGCCGTTCAGCAACTGATTTTGATGGGTGGTTTAGTCAACGGTTCATAATTGGTTAACCGCTGTGTGTTACTGTAGACCCCCGCACACCAAATTACTGCCTCACCATGACTTAAAACCCTCCTCCCTCTCTCCCTCTCTCTCTCTCTCTTGTACATCTTCGATCTGAGTCTCCACGGCGGCGCAACCACGCAACCAAACCGCACTACCAAGCTTCGTTAGAACTCCTCCATCTTCAACCAGGTTCAATTTCTCTCTCCATATATATATATATATATTTGTAGAACTATGTATATGGTTTGTTTTATGTCTTCGATTTTATTTTCGCGCTTTTTCTTACTTCTGAGGTTTATCTTCTTAGGAATTGAATCGAATTTCGCATTACTTGCTCAATTGTTGAAACTCTTGTAGTTTATTGTTGGCTAGTGGTGGAGTAAACACAATTACTCCTTCCGTCCCAAAATATTAGTCATTTATTTCATTTTTCATTATATCAAAATATTAGTAACTCTTCAAAACTCGAGTACAAAAATAATATAAATTTTCTATTTTGCCATTCTTTTAAATTAATAAACAATATAAAAAGTACAATTTTGACATTAATATTCTCAAAAAATGTACTGTCAAAAGGATAATTTTGAAAAATTAACTTTTTTTCAAATGCAATAATTGTACTACAAAAAAAAAGTTGGATTGCCCAAAAAGGACCATTATTTTGGGACAGAGGGAGTATATATTTTGTGATTTTCAGCGATCTACGGACTGTTTGGCATCCAGCTAAAAAAAGTTGTAATTTTTTGTTTTTGATTTAAAAAAAATATTATGTCAAATTTTCTTTTATTATTTTATATTTTTCATTTATGTTTTGCATAGATGAATCTAAAAGTAAAAAAAAACTGAAAGCAATCTTAAAAAATAAAAATGCTAAAAAATAAAACCCAAACGAGAGTAAAAATAAAAATGCTAAAAAATAAAAATGCTAAAATAAAAATGCTAGTTAATTTTTAGCTTTTTTGTTTTTGTTTTTTTGTGTGGTACTTTTTGGATTTATTTTTAAAATATTTTTAATTGAGTAAAACCCAAACGTGTAAACTTTTGGCATTTAAAAAAAAAAAAAAATTAACTAGCTCGTTTGGGAATTAGCTTTTTTTTTTTCTCATAAGTTTTTGATTTTTTACTAAAAAAAATGTGTAAAAAAATAAGAGAATGATTTTAGTTGCTTTTTGGCTAAAAACCATTCATCCCAAACAAAGATTAGAAAAAGCTAACAAAAAAAAACTAAAAAAGTCCATCCCAAACACCCACTTAAATGAAGAAGATTGGGTTAAATTTGAAAACAGTTTAAAGCACGTTTGAGAATGGTTTAGAGCTGCTGGATGTTAGATTTGGAACGTAGGAGTGAAAAGAAAATATACGATTTATGTTTTATAAAAAAAAAATAAAGTTATTTCATGTTATATTATAAAAATAGCCTGATGTTAGTTTTTTATTTTATTTTGTTATTATTTCTTTTATATTTAAGGGGCAGTTTTGGTAGTATAAAAAATAGTAATTAGTTGGTCTTTTTCTCTACCCGGCTCTCCACTTTTGGATAGATTCATAATGAGAGTTATAAGAGAATTTCTTTCTATTTCTTCTCATTTCACCTCATTGATCTCTCCTCCTTATCTAGGGCTGTTAACGAACCAAACTACTTGAACTCTACTCATATATTCGACTCGTTAAAAGTTTGTTCATCATCAAACATGCCAAACTTGAACACGATTTTAAGCTCTTTCAATTTTGAAGCCAAGCTTGAACCACCTAATTCTTGGCTCGAAAGCTTATATTCATTATAAAAAAATCAAGCTACTTGAGCTTGACTTGTGTTTAACTTGTTTATGACCATCTTGTTATGTAAACACGTTAAGCTAGAATGACCTACTATTTGGCTTGTTCCATCCCATCCTTATCCAAACAAGTGATATGAACCAAGAGACGTGCATATCTAAATAATTTGAGGGGAAGTGTGACAAAAGCTTCATCTTCCACGCCATGTGCTTTTAATAATTTATTGCTGATCTATTGTTGATGATGTCATCTCAATTTTTAAATTATTTGAAACCAATTTCATTTTTTTCTTTTATTTTTTATTTTTTAATTAGGGAAACTAATTAAAGGAATGATGTGGGCAATTGCAAGGCGACAGGTTGCTTTTGGTTGTTCTTCTGCTTGGGTATGTTCCAAAAACTACACATACAAACACCCAGACAACTACACTACATGCATGTGTGTGTATGCGCACGCTTATAGAAATATACATGTAGAGGTGTTACGTATATATATTGTATTCTTGGCATGCTTGTATCTATTATTTTTTCTGCATGTTTGCATCAGAATGTTTATATGCAAGCTACTGCTAAAGAATTGTAGAAATATGTGGTTTATGGTGTGTTTGATTTTGGGCATAGGACAGTCCTTGCGGAGGATTCTTCCTGCATCCGTGGCATCAGCGCTGCAGGGTTATGTTGCTTTGACCACGGCCAATGAGGTTTTAGCTTGATCCCTTCCACATTCTTATTTTTATTTGCTAGTACCCTCTCTCTCTGGCTGCTAATTACATATGTATAGTTTACTTCAGCAATTAAATTATCTTTCTTTAGCAAAGTTTTGATAGATTTGTTATTAGTGTGAAATATATAAAATGGTTTTTTATTTGCAAAATTCATAGCTATATTTTATTGTCTATTAGACCATCTCCAATGTTGCATTTAATGTTTCATCAAATTTAAATTTGATGAAAAACGGCAACTGTTTAACCTCTAACCCTTTTATCAAATGAGAGATGAACCAAAACTTTCATCAAATGAAGGGAGACTTTCATCTTTCATCAAATTTAAATTGTTACCGTTGGGCTGGACATCGACCTGGCTCATGAGCGACTTTGAAAGCCTTTTTTGTTCATGTCAGGACGACCTCCAGGACATCCGCTTGGACGTCCTTCCGGACAACCGGGGATGTAAAAAAATCTGATGAAAATTTTAGTTTTAGTATTGGAGTAAATGGTATCAAATCAAACTTTTCATCAAATTTTTACTCAAATTTGATTCAATTTTTGATTCAACGTTGGAGATGCTCTTAATAGGCTATTACATACTGATGAAAAGAACCTTATTTTCACTTGATTGGGGCAGAGTTTCAGCCTGCCTTCCACTGAATATGAAAAAACCTACAGACAGCTCTGGAGAGCCTGATATTATCATCAACTATGTAATGCACAGAGATTTAAATGTTTCTTTTTTATTTATTTATTTATTTTTTATATTATATATATATATATATATTTCAGATTAGTGTCACCTGCAAATTGAAGTTGAATGAGTGTCATTTTTTTTGGAGTTTAACTAGTTCTTCATTTTGGATGATTTGTAACTTCACTACCCAATTGTTGTGCGGCAAATGTACAGCAACCAGAAATGCCAAAATATCTGTACCGTAACCGTAACTCATAAAACTGAATAATAAGCCATTAAATATGTCCTGCTACAGTATAATCTATAAAATATATAACAATAAGACTAAAACTAATCCTAGACATTAAAACATAAAACCATAGGTGTCGTCCATATGAAATTCTAGATTTGTCATTTATCTTCTTTTCATGCTCCTTAGTCATCACTTGGTCTGCTATTTTGTGGTTAAAGTAAGGCTAGACGTAGGTGACTTTGGTAGGGCTTGGATGATAGCTTTTCAAATATGCCGGGTGGTGTTTCTTTGTTGATAATGAGAGGAACATTTTTAAAAACAGTCTGTGGCTTCTAACTCAATGTTGACTGCATCCACAACATCAACTCCTGCATTTATGGAAATAGATGTGAGGGAGGGGGCTGTGGGAAATGCTGCTCCCCCTCCTCACTCCAGAATGTGTATCTTTTGTTTACTTTTGGCTTTTTGTTTTTATAAATTTGCTTCACCCATTGAATGAAATAAATGGTTTCTATATATGGCGTTCTTACTAATATTTCAATAGTGTTACCGTTTCCATAAATACTATTTTTCTAAATACAATTCATTTAATTAATGGAAATTGTTTTTTGCATAAGTAAGTCGTGGATTGTTTATACTGTATCTGTTATTGTTTTTGGTATTAGTAGGCTTCCGGTTGCAGAGAAAATTACTCCTGGGGTTCATGTGCCGCCTTTCATAGTGTTGGGCGTCAACTTCATAGCCATAGAAGCTCTGTAGTGGAGGTTTGTGTAACTCATCATTCTTGCTTATTAAGTCTTCCTGGATGTCTTTTGTTGCCATTTTTTTTCTTGAAATAATTAAACAAGAGGCATGAGAGCTCCATGAGGCATGGAAAGACAAGAAAGGAAAAGAAATTGAAGTCTCTCAGGTTTCTTATTATTTTTAATATTGAAATTTTACACTCAACAGCCTACATAATCCCCAGGATTTTATGAGATGGCTAATGGTTATTTTTCTTGTTTACTCCTTTTATATTTTCTTAAATTGCTGAAAGAAAAATAAATGACACTATAGATAATTATTTTGTCTGTTTCTTGGCAACCACACAATTCCGATGTTGTCATTTGTTATTCTTAACAGCTTTACTCTTCACCAATCTTTGAGAAAGTTTCCAGGATTTAAATTCACAGCATTCATTAACAATAATGTAAGGCCGACATACACCAGAAAACATTTTCCAACCAAGCATCCAGATGTGGAAATAGTTTGCTGTTGAAGCATGTGGTTGACTTTTGAAAAAGTAATTTAATAGTGTAAAATTTCTTTAAGCGATGAAGTAAGTGAATTGCTTAAGATTCATGTTGATCATGTCTGTTACCTTTTCTTGGGATACTATTGGGCTTGCCCATTAATTTTCTTATTGATTACTTGCTTACTATGATACTGACTTGGGTTTTCACTTATTTTTGCATTTTAAAAATAAATAAATAAATTTAAATTTGTGTGTTTTTGCCTCTTTGTCCTCTTTATTGTGATATCTGAATTTTTTTCTTTTATTTTTTCTTCTTTGTTTTCTTTCTATCCTTTTCCTTTTTCCTCGCACTTCCTTTTTCAGGAGCAACTGGACCCATTTTCACTTGTTGAAAATGAACTATATATTCTTGCTAGTAGGTTGCGGTCAATGGTAGTTGCTGAGGTATCCATTTATCATTTCTCCTGTTTTTTGCCTAATTAGTTGCATTTTATTCTGTAAGAGTGGAGCATGTAGCCTTTTGGGATTATTATAAGATTTGATATCATACAGGTCCCAAAGCTTGCCTCAGCTGCTGAATACTTCTTCAAGATGGGGGTGGAAGGTAAGAGGTTTCGACCAACGGTAAGATTTAGCAATGCAAAGTTAACAGTTTTATTACGATCTAGCAATGCAAAGTTAAAAGTTTTGACTTTCATGATTGTGTCTCACACAATTTGTCTTTGACTGTTTTTTTTTTTTTGATCTTTAGTTCACCTCTGTCTTGAGAAGTTAGTTACCAGTAATAAATGTTGCTGGTACTCAATGAAATAGTCTATTATCTATATGTAGATTTCTTATTCTTGGACTGCTACAAGAAATCGCTTGGATAAAGTTTATCTATAAAGAAACACTATAAATTATGACACGAACCTAAATTAGTGAACAAAGTTATTTCCATTGCTTGAGTATTGTATTTTAATGACTTGTGTTGTAACATGACACCAATACGACAAAGACACACTGACACAACAATTTTACAAAATGCAAGACACGACGCGTAGGATGCACACAAAATGTAAAAAAACAATGCCCAATTAGTACACATTAATGTGTGTTTGGGAGGGAAAAGATTGGCTACACACCTAACTTTTGGCATAGTGCACAAAATGGTTACCCCGTGACTTGAACTCATAACCTCAAGTTTATTAGGCCAAGGTTTTACCACAAAATATAGTTTTATATATTTATTGTATGTCATATATATATATATGAATATATCATTTAAAGATGATAAAAAAAAATGCAACATAACACCGCCTAATATAAATTTAGATTGTTTTGTTTTTTCATTGTATTCTAACTTCTTTTGTTCAAACTTATAATTACTTTCATGGTTGTCTAACGATGGACACGTGTCCACCATGTGTCTATAGAGTGTATGAGTATGAAGAGTGTCAGATGTGTAGGGATGTTCAACAGCTGTTGGTGTCCGACATGGACACGCTATCTTCTTAGAAGTATTTGTGCTTCTTAGGATGCACAAAAAAGAAAAAAAAGGAAAATATTCACTGGATGCATAGTTCAACTTTTCTTTTTGGGATTGTGTTGTAGAGGTACATTATTAATATTATTATACTTTTCAGAAGGCTCCCTTCACCTCCATCCACCCACCCACCCACAAACATTGTAAGAGCAACTCCCACCATGCTCTTTATTTTTCGCTAGCTAAAGTACAAAAATAGTACACACTCTTTATTTTATCTAATTGCTTTAGCTATTGTGTTCTCTAACTACACTCATTATTTTAGCTAATCATTCAAACTAACTTAACCAATTTTTAAAACAAAAAATACTAATTTCTGAATCTGGGCTCAAGAATACATATACATATATATACACCCAATACATATACATAAACCCAATACATATACATATACAAAATTCCAAATCAATACATATAAATATATAAGAACCTGGGCTCAAGAATGAGGCTTTTCAGCAGAGAGATTGGGAAGTTTCTGAGGGTGATTGTCCCTCTCTACAAACAAAAATGATGATCTTTCGTTGACCATCAGAGCTGATGATTTCACCTCCAAAATCAACAGCTCTCTCTCTGCGTGTGTGTGTGTGAGCGCTCACTAGTGAAAGGTAGGAATCCACTCCATCTTCTTCTTGCGGGAATTTTTATTTTTATTTATTTATTTATTTTGGATGCTGTTGTGGATTAAAAAGAACATCAAGGGACAGTCCCTCCCATGGGATTTGCCCTCCAGGACCACTAATTGTATAACTTCTCAAAAAAGAAGAGATTCAACAAACAAACACACACAGAGAGAGAGAGAGAGAGAGAGAGAGAGGGTACGAGGGAGGGAGTACCATACCTTGAGAAAGCGTTGATAGAGAGAGATGTAGAACACTGAAGGTGATTTGGTAGGAAAGAGTAAATGTATTTGTTTGCAGAGCCTCTAGGGCTCTTCAATTGTAGCCAGCGAAGAAATCTGATAGTAAAGTAGCTAGCGCAATAGCCAGCCCATTGGAGGCCCAAAATTGGAGTCACATTGGCTAAAATGCCTAACAAGCCCCTTTTAGCTATTCCCTTGGAGATGCTCTAAGAGCTGGGTAGCTAATAGCTTTGACAGCCTTTTTTTTTTTTTTTTTTTTTTTTTCGTTTAATTGGCGCACAGCGACTAATGTTGTGGCCATAAGTTAACTGCCTTTTTTTTTATTTTTGCAATGAGAAAATTATCAGTTAACAGCCCATGAAGTTGATACTATCATTTTTAAGTCTAAACCATGTTCACTTAATTTTCTTGAAGTATAGGATTGCTACTATTGCCCTTCCCAAACCCATCCTTCCTGAGGTGGCATGCATAAATGAACCTTTTAGTTGCTTTGATTTGAAGCAAAGTCTCATAAAGAATATAAATACAAGATAAAATAAAACAGGTGAAGTTAGTCTGATGAAGGGTGGATTGACTGGATTTAAACCCTGTTATTGTGTTATATTTGATCATTTGACTACAACACCCATCGACACAAAAGTTGCTCAATGGTTGTAAAAATCAGAGACGTCATACTCTTTGTTCTCTGTTTCTGATACTTCCTCCTTTGATTTGATGAGAATTGTATTTTGATTAATGTGACCATTTAAGCACCAGATCTATCATACTTGTCTGACTGGTTAATAAATGCCAGCTGAACATTAAATTTCATTATTTTTGTTCCAAATATTGCATTATTCAGAATTACAGACATCTTTATCTGTGCAGGTTTTATTGTTGATGGCAACTGCTTTGAATGTACCGATACCTGAACCAGCTTCTGTTGGGGTGGGTGATGCTATAGCAACAGAACTACGTATTAGACAACAACGGATAGCTGAGATCACAGAAATGATCCATGTCAGTTCTTCGTCGTCTTCTTCTCCTTCTTCTTCTTCTTCTTCTTCTTCTTCTTCTTCTTCTGTTTTCGGTTTCTGTTCATTTTGTTTTTGTTTTGGTTTTTTGTTTTTTTTTGGAGCCTTACTTGGTTAGTTTCCAGATTTTGTCTTTGTCTTCTTAATTTTGTGTTCATATTTAAAATTTATATTTTTTCGTTTCGATAATTTATTTATTTAATTATTTTACTGGTAATCAAACACTGATTTGCTGTTTTGGACGGAGATCTTGGTTTAACCATCAAAATACCCAAATGAACCATCCTTTGTACTAACTTCTTATGGCCCTTCAATCTATTTACACCACTAAATGAGACCCTGATTCCTGTCTTTAGTACAGCACTAAATGAGACCCTGATTCCTGTCTTTAGTGGTGCAAGGTTGAAGGTGTGGAGAAGTCCAAATTGTGGTATAGTTCTTTTTTACAGTATTGTGTTTTAAAAAATAATACCTGATTCCTAGCCCTGAGCAGGAGAAGATGATCTTTTTTGGTTTAAACTCAAGGCATGCATTAATGCTTCCAAACTGACTTGTTCATTGAATTATCTAAGGTGGCAAGCCTTCTTCATGATGATGTATAGTTCTCTTTTACAATATTGTGTTTTAAAAAATAATACCTGATTCCTAGCCCTGAGCAGGAGAAGATGATCTTTTTTGGTTTAAACTCAAGGCATGCATTAATGCTTCCAAACTGACTTGTTCATTGAATTATCTAAGGTGGCAAGCCTTCTTCATGATGATGTATTGGATGATGCAGATACAAGACGTGGCATTGGTTCATTAAACTTTGTTATGGGGAATAAGGTATATTGTTTTCTTTTTATCTTGATCGAATCCTTTTCCTTTTTGTTTTATTATATTATGAACTCAATTAATTGAATCTGTGCTTTAGCTGCTCTTTTTTGATAAATTTGTCTAATATTATATGTTGTTCCGCATTAATAAAATGAGTATAAGTGGTCATTGAAACGAATATAATTCTGTGCTGGGATTTGTGCTTTTTGGTTATGATTTTTTTGGTTCTCTCTCTATTCAATTATTCATGGATTTCACCTAGTATGCGTTGGCCTCTTTGGTAAACTTAGCACTATCGATTTTTTGTTACTTTTCTCTCTTTTAGATGGTATTTCCATATATGGGTTACAATAGTCTGAATACCTCTTATGTTACTTCTTATAATTTTCATCTCTTTTCAAGAAAAACACAAGATATGAAATTTTGGGCCCTAATTCTTTTTCTTCCCCCCCCCCTCCCACATGTAGCTAGCAGTATTGGCTGGAGATTTCCTACTATCCAGAGCTTGTGTGGCTCTTGCTTCTTTGAAGAACACAGAGGTATTCTGTCCTCGTGAAACTGGTATTTTGGATTTGTATCTCCTGAATTTCTGCTGCGTGGATGCTTGAATTTTAGACTGAGGTGGCTCTGAGCTGATTTCTTTCTACAATGCCATGCTTTGGTAACCTGTTTAATGATAGTTGGGGGTGGCTGCATTGATTTGTTGGTTTACTTTACTTTTTATGGCATATGGATCCAACTGGTGGTGGTGAACCAGTCTATGAACCGGTAGCTATAATGAATATAGATTGGCGTGATATAGTGGCAGCACTGCAAACTAGTAATTTTCAGTACTTTATCATATATATAGATGCTTAAAGTTTCTAGTTTACCAAACCAAACTAAGTCTTGTGTCCCAACCATGTGGGATCAACTACATGAATCCTTTGTCACCATTCCGTTTTGTCAAGGGCTATATGCTCGGTTAAATTAAATAAATTCAAACCGTATTTTATTACTACATCTCATGTCAATTTAGGTCTTACACTTCCCTTAACATTTCCATTTACAATGATCCTATCACTCCCCCTAACACTTCCATTTACGGTCATCATTTCACTCTTTCTGACTGTTGCATAGCTTCGTTGTATGACCAAACCAACTTAGAATATTCTCTCTCAGCTTATCTTCAACTACTCCTACTCGTACCATTTTGCGAATATATTCATTTGTAATACTGTTTTTTCCTAATTTTACCACATATCAATCTAAGCATCTTCATCTCAACTGCATTCATTTTATGGATGTATTATTTCTTAGTAGCCTAATATTTTTTTTCTGTAAAGCATCGCTGCTCTATAGCATCAATGGCTTAAAGAATCGAGTTTATACTAGTAATTTGATATTCAAGATTTTGATTAGTATGACTTGCATTTGCTACATATTTTAAAATAGTCAGCCATGTTTCTGTAGGTTGTGACATTACTAGCAACTGTGGTAGAGCATCTTGTTACAGGAGAGACCATGCAAATGACTACTACATCTGAGCAACGTTGTAGGTACACTGCTATGCTGTTGGTGTCTTTTTTATACTCTGTAAGCTTCATGCATTATACGTTGTTAAATCAGAGATGCAAAATCCTACAAGACAATAATTTTCCAGTTGTAGGGCTATTCTCTCTAGGTATTTTTAAGTCGTAATTCTATTTGCACACCATACTTTATCTCAGTACACATTATTTGTGTCGTGCTGATATCAACTTCCGAACAAAAGCAAAATGTTTGAATATCAACTTCTAAACAAAAATCAATTGTTCAAACAAAAAACTCGATTGACAGTTGATATCCAAACATTTATATTTTGTTTGGAAGTAGATATTCGAACATTTGTATTTTGTTCGACAGTTGATATCCGAACAAGATAAATGGTTTGTACTGAGACAAAGGCTGGTGTGCAAATAGAATCGCCCATTTTTAAGTTATTGATATGGATTAGTGAAACAGTATTGATATGGATTAGTCAGACATTTGGCCAAACCTCTAAGGACATGATGTTATCTTGGCAATATAAATTGTATTCTCATCTGCAGAAGAATGCTTTTCTTCTTTGTGGGAGCCTGCTTGCCTGCTCATATTGATTTTGACATAAAATATCTTCCATGCAGATTAATATATTGATGGTTGTCATTGAATCATCTTAGGGCTTAAACTTCTGGTTCACCGACATTGCACCTATTGCATGTGCTGTGCCAATTATGTTATGGTTCGTTATTGCCGAATGGACTGCTTTACATCTCAATCTTTGAACCACCCAAAAAAAAGAGTTATCTGAGTATCAGTCTTTGAGCTCAAGCATACTTCTTGTACTTTCTGAAAATTGAAATTATTTTGGACACTAGATGCCATTTCTTCCTGATAATTTTCTATCCTGAATGGTGAAACTTTAAAATCCCCTGTTCTCTCTCTCTTCAACAAACTTCTTTTTGCTTCTTCTTGTTGTAGTTTGCTGGGGTGCTGGTCCTTTTTAAATATATTATCAAGTAGTGGCTTTCCTACATGAATGGGAAGGTTGCAGGCTCGTAGCCAGTGTAGCTTCTCTGGTGCTGTCATTTCATGTCTGATCATGACCTTCCGCTTTGTTGACTTATTGCTCGTCTTCATGATATTTTGGTTTATATTAATTGCTTGTCTTGCTATAAATTCTTTTATGAAAGTGTTCTTTTTATTTTATTTTATTTTTTTATTGCAGCATGGAATATTATTTGCAAAAGACATACTGTAAAACCGCGTCATTGATTTCGAACAGCTGCAAGGCAATTGCCCTTCTTGCAGGGCAAACTGCAGAAGTTTCAGTCTTGGCTTATGAATATGGAAAGAATCTGGTGTGTAATATACTTCTGATGTATGTTCTATCTGTTATTTACAAGAAAGATTCTTGTTTATTAGTTTCTGAATTTCTTTGAGTTATTATGGCCCATCCACCTAAACCAAACCAAACCAAACCAAACCAAACCAAGCCTTATGGCCCATCCACGTAATTAAAAAAATTTAATAGACAGCATAGTAATCGTACATCTTAGATTTTCTGAGCTCTTTTCTCTAACTGTATGCTATTAGTGTTCCCTGTTCTTTATCTTTGGTCTTTAGAGAATGAGTAGAGAGTTGTGCAACTTAGGCTGTGTTTGGAGTGGAGTTCTAATCATGACTCCACACCCATATTTGAGTGTGGTGTTTGGATACAACTTTCAAAAATTAATTCCACACTCACTTTTGAAAACTTGTTCCAAGTGGGGTTTTGAATTTTGAAATTTGGCCTACCCGTCGTCCTCCCGGATGTCCGGCCAGTCATTCGGCCGGTTGACCGGAATAGTGCTATTTTTTTTTGGGACAATTGGCTCCAATTATTTTTGATATTTTAAATAAAAAAATATTTTCGGAATTTTTTTAATTTTTTGTAAGCTTTAAATAGAATTTTGGGTTGTGTATTTGGTTATGAGTTGTAAGTTTTTGAATCAAATATCATGTCACATCAAAAATTCAAAACTCATAACCAAACAAAATTTTCACACTCAAATCATAATTCTAAAACTTACAAACTCAAAATATAACTTTATTCTCAAATCATAATTCTAAAACTCTACCAAACGCTACCTTAATTTCTTTTGTTGTAATTGTTGCCATGGCCAACTTGTTTCCCATCACTAGAAGACATGTCACCGAAATCTTGTCATATGCTACAAATAATGTTTACTTTTTGGTTAAATAATAGCAGTTGCCATTACACCTTCGTAGTGATGCTGCTAACTTTGACTGGCTTGCAGTTGCAACAGCTCTCGCTTGTTGGAAAACTAAATCAAAGTCTTGCCTCTCCCAAAAATATTATCAAATTTGTATAGATAGTGGTTTTCTTAGTTACCTTTGAACTGAATGTTTTTTTGCACTCTCTTTCTCCTCCACAGGGATTGGCATATCAGTTAATAGACGACGTTCTTGATTTCACAGGCACAACAACTACCCTCGGAAAGGGTTCTTTGTCTGACATCCGTCATGTAAGTCATCTTTGCTTTAAGTGTAATTAATGTATAAAAAATTATGTACTTCTCAATATTGAAAACTGCACATGCTAAGATATGGCAAAGATGGACAGGAATTGAATTTGTCAAGTGTGACACTGACGTCTCTACAGTCTTCCCCCATACTTCTCCTTCCTCTACATCACAACATACGTGTGATTTATGTTGAGGAGATGATGAGAGAGTTTCTGATGCAGGACGAATAGGGACAGCAGCAAATCTAGCCTTTTGGGGCTGATTTTAATAGGATTCTATGGCTGCAATTGCAATAAGAATATAGAGAATAAGTAGGGTTTGTTTAGGGTAATAAACAGGTAAGAGTTTAAGCATGACAAGATGGGATTTTAGCACTGTTTAGGGGCTGTATAAGGCTGTGAACAGTAACTCGTGAACAGTAAACTAAAACAGAAAAGAAATAGAAAGAAAAGAAGAAGGTAGATTTAGGAATTACACCTAAGGTTGGATTGCATCACACAACCCATAAAGAAGCTTCAAAGTTCTTAATTTTTTATAAAATATCAACTCCATTAATTATAAACATTACAAGGCTTTATATAGGATTAGGAAACTTTCTAAATCAACTAGAACAAAAAACAGAGAAACTATTATATTATCTTAAACTTCCAAAACTAATTTAAGACCAAATAAGAAATATAAATGTAACTCAATTAAATAATTTGTCCGACAAGACGACTCATGGGCAACCCATACGACCCATATAAGCAAATATAAAATTACCAAAATAGCCCTAACCTTAAAAATCCTAAAAAATATAAAAATAATAATAAAACAAGAATAATAATACTAGAAAATAATTATAGAAGATTTCTATCAGTTTCTCTATGAAATCATGCCAATGTCCTAATATCATTACTTCTTTGAATTTAGCTTCCTTTGAGGTTCTTATACTTTGCATCATTCTCCCTTGTTGAAAAAAACTCCACATCGAGTTTTGAAGTTGGAGTGTAAAAATCCACAAGTTTTGAAATTGCGTCCATGGCTTCACATAAAATGTTCAAGTTGGCGGCTTCTTCTTCATTGGAGGTAGCAATGAAAGTAACAAGGTACTTTCAGCTCTAAAGCTGAATTTATTTAGAATGACGAAATCAATTGAAGTAGAACATGAACCCTTGAATTGATCAAAGTGTTGAGTTGCCCCATCATCCATTCGATTCTTTTTTGGCTTTGTAATATCTTGCTTACAATCAATTTGAATGCTTCTATTTGCATTAGCAAACATGGATTCCATATTCTCAATCCTTTTCTCAACAAAATGTTGTTTTGCAATTCAATTTTGCAGTCCTTTTGTAACTCCAGCATATGCTTTAAAAGCATATTTTGCTCAACACTAGAAGTTGGTTGCTTCAATTCTTCAGTCCTGACAGCTTTCATAGCATCTAATTCCTCGCTTTGGAGCCTAGTAATAACTAGATCTTCTTGGGGTGCTTTTGGATCATTAGTAAGAGCTTCGTTATCCTTCAAAATCTGGTCATCTTTCACCTTGTGCAGGGTTTGATTGTTCTCCTTCACTTGTAGCTTCAATTGACTTTCAGCTTTGGTACGACTTCTTGTGTGCACCCCATGCTATATCTTGACTGATGTGGCACTTCTTGCCTAATAATAGGGGCTTAATGCAGGTTTAAAACCAGCAAGTCTTTGACATGATTCTTCCACAACTCGATTTCGAGTGTCAAGTGCCTCAAGTCTTTGCATATATTCTTCAAAGAAAGTGTTGCCATGTCTTGAATTAACAAGTTGCTCACATTACTCAACAAGTTTATTTGAAGGTATATACTTCATTTGAAGCTTAGTTTTCATCTCTTGCCATGTGTTTAATGGTGGCAATTCCAATCTTCTTATATCTTCTTCAACATGATACCACCAAAGTTGTGCCAAACCTACAAGTTTCATCTTGGCAAATCTTGCTTTTCAATCATCCGTCCAATCATAGCAATCAAAATATTCCTCAATTGAAACAAGCCAATTAGAGAACACCATAGGATCATATCTTCTTTCAAAATCTGGAACTTCTTTGTTATGGGATATAACATATTGTGGCACATAGGATCTCCCACTTTGTAAGAACATAGTGGTGAAACCTTAAGCTCTGGTACCAAACTGATGCAGGACGAGTAGGGACAGCAGCAAATCTAGCCTTTTGGGGTTGATTTTAGTTGGATTTTATGGCTGCAATTGCAATAAGAATATAGGGAACAAGGAGGGTTTGTTTAGGGTAATAAATAGGTAAGAGTTTAAGCATGAAAAGATGGGATTTTAGCACTGTTTAGGGGCTGTATAAGGCCGTGAACAGTAAACTAAAACAGAAGAGAAGAAGAGAGATTTAAGAATCACTCCTAGAATTCCTTAGGCGCATCACACAACTTATAAAGAAACTTCAAAGCTCTTACTTTTTATAAAATATCAACTCCATTAATTATAAGCATTACAAGGCTTTATATAGGATTAGGAGACTTTCTAAATCAACTAGAACCAAAAAAAGGAAGTTGCTATAATATCTTAAATTTTCAAAACTAATTTAAGACCACTAAGAAACATAAATAAAACTCAATTAAATAACTTGATCCACAAAACGACCCATGGGCGACCCATACGATCCATGTAAGCAAATACAAAATTACCAAAATAGCCCTAACCTTAAAAATCCGAGAAAACATAAAAATAATAATAAAATAAGACTCTAATAATACTAGAAACATAATTATAAATGATTTCTATCAATTTCTCTATGAAATCATGCCAATATCCAAATATCATCACCTCTATGAATTTTGCCTTCCTTGAGGTTCTTATACTTTGCATCAATTTCTGGGCGATTCAATAATAATTCAGTTGGATTCAGATTGGATCTAATTTCATATCAATTTTAAGCTGTCATAGCTAACCTTAGTAGCAGGAATCGTTTCAGATGGCGACGACTCCGAGGAAAAAGCGCGATTTTGCGCTTTTGAAGAAGAATTGCAGCAAAATCGCGAATTTGAGGAGAGGGAAACGTGAATCTGATGCGAGAAGGGAGCACTATTGAGAGAGCAAGGAGAGTACCTAATCGCTGGCTTCGATCCTCTATTCGACGACTTCGATCTCGCTGTTTGACTTCCCCGTCGAAGCCCTAGTCTTCGTCCCTCTCTTCGAAGCCCTAGGTCTTCGTCTCTCTCTCTCTCTCTTCTCTCACCCTCGATCTCCTCTTCGTCTCTGCTTCTCTCTTTCTTCATCTCTGTTGCGCCTCTTGCTTCTCCCTCTCTCGATCTATTATGTTCTCTCTCTCTCTCTCTCCGTTTTCATTGTTTTATAAACATATAATTTATCATATAATATATATATATAATATAATTTATAAATTATAAATTATAAATTATAATATAATTTATCATAAACAATATAATTTTTATTTATTATTTATTTTTTTAACAATTATTTCTTAACTTTTTAACATATAATAAATTATCTAATTGTTTAAAAGAAATCTATTTAAATCATATATAATAAAAAAATCTTCAAAAATTTATAAAATAAAACATCTAATTTTTATTTATTATTTATTTTAACATAATTTATTATTCATTATAATAAATAAAATATAATTAATAAAAATAATACATAAGCGTTCCTAATTTACGACTCCTCTAAATGGCCACGTTTCCCCGCTCTCGCTCCCGCTCCCGCTCCCGCTCCCGCTTCGTGCAACTAAGTAGCTAACCCTTCAAATACAGGGATTCCTTGATTTTTTATGTTCAAAACATGTAGTCTTGAGTGTGTCTATTCACCGTAGTTCCTTTCTTGTATATTGATATAGTCTACAGAAATAGCATGTATAGAGGATGAGTACCCTTGTGACTTTCGAATTATAAGTGTAGAAAATTAAAATTCTTTTGCAGGGAATTGTAACAGCTCCAATATTATATGCCATGGAGGAGTTCCCGCAATTGCGTGAAGTAGTTGATCGAGGATTCGACAACCCTGCAGATGTAGAGCTTGTAAGTTTCTATGTTACATTTTACATGTTACACATATTATGCATGATACAACAAATTACATGCACATGTAGCTATCCATGTCAAATGTATGTATGTACATGCACAATCACAGTGATTCCTTTGTTTTTCAAAGAAACATAGTTATGATCTTCCTCTCTGTTCCCATTCTCACATGAATTTAATTATGTTTTTTGTATCTTAGTTCTATGTTTTCTTGTAAATTATTCGATAGTATTAACTTGATGTCTATGTTTCATTGGCGACTTACTGTAGTGTGTCCTGTTTAAATTCTTGATTTAGCTTCAAACTGTGGTCATGTGAAAGACATGCTCACAAAGCACTGGTATCCAATGTGGGTTTGTGTCCAAGTGATGGGTCCTAAAGTTGCATCTTAGGATATTAGTGTTTGCATCCAAAAGTTAGGTTTGAGTATGGGGACAGTCTTAAATGTACTTTATATTAAATGTGATTAGGAAATATCTGGAATTTATCTCTCCCATTTGAGTGAGATGCTAAAAATGTTTCTTCATTAGCAAACGTGACTGTCTTCTGCTTCAAGCTTCATATGAAATAAGAGAATTCAAATTCCTAAATTAGATACGAGTATGATAATGCACGTGAATCAACATGGATTTGTATTCATTCACCCTAATAGTTTTTTAAACTAATGAACACTCTATGCAATTGAAAATATAGGCTCTCGATTACCTTGGACGGAGTCGTGGAATACACAGAACCAGAGAACTAGCGGCGAAGCACGCCAGCCTTGCCTCAGCTGCAATTAATTCTCTTCCCAAGAATGATGACGAGGATGTTCAAAAATCAAGGCGGGCACTGGTTGATCTAACTCACCGAGTCATTACAAGAACAAAGTAGCGAAAGAACATCAATTCCTGCCACAACGATTTCTTGTGTCAGTTTTTCCTTCAATTTATTTTTTCGTCAACGGTTTTGTGAGGGATTTATTTCCTCAATATCATTCTTTCTGTTTTGTTTTTTGTTTTAATCTTCATAGAGTTGTGATGAAACAAACAATATTCTTCAAAACTTGATGTCAATTGTAATATTGGGTAATATTATTTAGGAATTTGATGAATAAAAATAGCTTTATATTAGTTTACTCCGTTAATATTTGTAATCCAGCTGATTACAAATACAATAATCAACATATGTTAGCATTTGTTAATTGAATTTCAAAAACCATACTATTTTTCAATATATATATATATATATGTCAATGCCAAAATTTATGTTGACTCAAGTGAGTATACTTGTTTAATTTATGCACATCTAGAATAGTCAAAACACTAGAGAAGCCAAACAATGTATAGGATGGTGTCGAAGATTTCTTTCAGTTACCTAATGTGTGATTTGAGTCACAAGACTTGTTTTGGTTTAATTTGATTTAGTTATATAATTTGGTTTGGTTTGGTTTGGTTTGATTTGATTTGATTTAGTTATATAATTTGGTTTGGTTTGGTTTGTTTTGTTTTGTTTTCAAAAATAATGCTGCATGCATTCTGTTCTATGGTTTGAATTAGAAAAAATGACCTCATTGATAACCTAAAAAAGAATAGAGAGGTGACCTAATACATAAATTTTTATTTTTTGAGGAATGAGCTGATACATGATTGTTACTTGTAGTAAGAATGGGTCCGGGTTGAATATGGACCATTCCACCCAACCCATTGAATTGATCATTTGCCTTTGCGAACTATATGTTTGAATTGTAGAAATCAAATGAGGAATGGAATTTTATTATCAAAATTTCTGAACTAGTAAGTCACTATGTGAATGTTTTTTGAGCATTTGATTTAGTTATAAAAAATAATAAAATTTGAAATATTGTAGCCTATCTATTTAGTTTGAGAAATTGACTTTAAAGAAACATATGATTATGATTATTGAATTAATTTGATTTTTTTTTTGATAATTTTTTCACAAGAACCTAAAAGGTAAAAATAAAAAATCATCACAATACATCCTATAAGGAGCTCATAATGAAGAATTGGACAATCCAGTCTGGTTGTGTCATTAGAGTTCATTTTTGTTCAGCAATTACTTGGTTAATGGTTGATTTGTCCCAAATTGAGCTTCAGGCATAACTTGGGATTTAGGGTTGTCCTCTCTTCAAGTTTCATGTTCAATACTTACTAGCTGCAATGACCCATATAAGGCGTTTGCTCAGATTTTAAATGAGGTCCTCGCAAGTGGGCAAAGGGATTAATCTCCGAGATTAGTTGAGGTGTACGTAACTTGATTTGGACACTCGATTAAAAAAAATAAAAAAAATAGAAGATACATTGCATGTGTTGTTAGCAGTGTAAGAGCAACTCCAGCCATACTTATCATTTTTTACTAGCTAAAACATTTTAAAAAGTATGTTCTTTATTTTACCTATTTATTTTTTTTTTATATATATATTTTTATCTATATATACCAATGCTACTTTTTATTTTACCTATCTATACACAAATTATTTAAAGAGCCTTGGGAGGCTCTTTAAATGTAACTATTCTTGAATAATTTTGTTAATATAACTATTATAATAACTAGTCCATTAAAGTGACTAAAAAATATACTAATGCTAATTATTTTTTGATCGGCAAAAAATTACACTTTATTGATGAAAACAAAATGCAGTACACATAAATACATCAATAAAATAAGGTAAGAGCAATAAGTATCATAGTGAACCTCTTAATCTTAACTAAGTTGGCACCAAGAGGACCATCCAATCATGTGCAAGCTCAAGTCACAAAAGTTGGAGAGATACCAACATAAAACACACCAAAATAAACAACCACTCATAAAATTACCTCACCAAATTTAAAAAAAAATAGCCAGGCAAATAAACCACCCAAACACACCACCATAATAACCACCCAAATTCTAATAGATCACATAGCAATATCAGCAGCAACAGGATTATCAATGATAACTTCCACCAAGATTCCAACTTCATCAGTCCACCCAGCCATTGAAGATCACATTGCGTGGCCCCCCACTGAACATGATGCAACAGGACACCTCAAAACTAAGCATCCTTAAAGCACTCCCCTCGTACCAACCAAACAGAATCTAATATGCTTCAACTTGAAAATAAAATCATGCACTGTGAATTTATGATCTTTAAACACTTCCTTGCACCACACAGCCATTCTAAACTTTGTTAGATCACACACACCTTCCACATTTGGGACAACATCCCTAAACAAGCATTCATTACGATGTTTCCACAAGGACCACAGTATTGTTATAGGAAGAGCTTCCCACATCATCCTCTCCTTTTTGCTGAGCCTAACCGCTGCCCACCAGTTAAGAATAGCCTCCACTGTATTTGGCAGTGCACCTTGTACATACCACCAATTTAGTATTTCTGACCACACTCTCCAAGCCACCGGGCAAGACAGTAGGACATGGTTAAGTGACTCATCTACGGATTTGCACAGAATGCAGAGGGTTGATGTATTTGCATTAAGAACACCAATCCGGAGAAGAAAGTCAGCTGTTTTAAGTCTACCTTTCCAAGCAAGCCACGCAAAAAATTGAACTCTAGGAGGAATGTACTTCACCCACACCCTTTTGCTAGTTATACTATAGCTGCCAAAACCACTTGCCATAAATTTGTACACTGATTCGATTGTAAACCTCCCTGTTTTTGAAGCCTCCCAAACCAGTGTATCTTCTGAGGATGACTTGATAACAGGACCTACCTCTAGATATCCTATCAATCTGGTAACCTCCTCACTTTCCTAATCATGTAGCTCCCTTCTGAATTGGAACGACCACTCACTTGTATCCGCTTTCCTTTCCATCATTGCAGATAAAGACTCTTCCTTGTTTATTACCAATCTATATAAAAGCGGGAACTCATCTTTAAAACTTAATTTTTCACACCATTTATCAACCCAGAACTTCACTCTATGGCCATTACCCACTTTTAACTTACAATTTTCCAGAAAAAAACTCCATAAGGCTGTTATTCTGTTCAATGCCTTTCATTATATCCTTCCAAATTTTTGAACACCTGCTGTTGGAGCTGAATGAAGGCCACCAATTCCCCTCATCTACCCTGTATTTGCTGCATATGACTCTTCTCTAAAGTGCTTTGCTCTCAACTCCAAACCTCCACCACCATTTCAATAAAAGGCGAACATCCTGGGCCTGATGGATTCAATTTAGCCTTTTACCAAAGGTGCTGGAATGTTATGAAACACGAGGTTGTGGAAATAATGTAGGAATTTTATTTAAATGGGAAGCTGGCTTCAGGTGTTAATAGTTCTTTCATAACGCTCATCCCAAAGAAGGAGTGTCCCATTGGGTTGTCTGACTATAGGCCAACTAGTTTGGTAAGTTCAGTGTATAAGATTCTAGCAAAAGTCCTGTCTCGAAGACTAAGGCAAGTGCTTCCTATGATTATTAGTGAAGTTCAATTAGGTTTTTTGAGTGGTCGATGCATATTTGATGGGATCCTAATTGCTAATGAAGTGGTGGACTGGTGGAAGAAGACAAAGAGAAAAGGGGTTATTCTTAAATTGGATTTCGAAAAAGCTTATGACTCAGTAAACTGGGGTTTCTTGTTTTCAATGTTGTACAATTTCGGGTTTGGTGACAAGTGGGTGGGTTGGATAAAGACATGTATATCCACAGCAAGAATTTCCGTGTTAGTTAATGGGTCTCCCACTTCAGAGTTCACTTCCCATAAAGGACTACGGCAGGGTGATCCTTTGTCACCTCTCCTCTTCAACTTGGTGGCAGAGGGGCTAAATATTTTAATGGAAAGAGCAAAAGGTTTAGGGCTGATCAAAGGAGTTGTGGTGGGTCAAAGCGAACTCAAGTTGTCTCATCTTCAGTTTGCTGATGATACAATTATTTTTTGTGAGGCTAATTCGGAGGAAATCATTGCAATAAAGAGAATTTTGAGATGTTTCGAAATAATGTCTGGGTTAAAGATTAATTTTCATAAAAGCAAAGTTTGTGGGATTGGTGTAGAGGATGATTTGATTAAAGTGTTTGCTAAAAAACTGAATTGTTTGCCCCAGAATTTGCCATTGAATTATCGGGGCATGCCTTTAGGTTCAAATCCAAGGAGGAAGAGAACTTGGCAGCCAATTGTCGATAAGTTCAAAAAGAAATTAGCACTTTGGAAGAGGAAATGTTTATCATTTGCAGGGCGGCTAACGCTGATTAAGTCGGTTTTATTAGGTCTACCATTGTTCTTTTTATCATTGTTTATGATGCCAGTGGGTATTGCTAAGCAGCAAGATAAAATACAGTCTAATTTTCTTTGGGGCGGTAATGAGGTTAGGAGAAAAGTACATCTGGTTAAGTGGGAAGAGGTGTGTCAAAATAAAAGCCAAGGTGGGCTTGGTGTGAGGAAGCTCAATGAGGTCAATGAGTGCTTGTTAATCAAATGGTGGTGGAAGTATGGATTAGAAGATAAAGCAATATGGAAACAAGTGGTGTGCAACAAGTATGGTCAAAGTGGTGGCAGATGGAGTCCATGGACAGTGGAGTCATGGGTGCTCTCCATCATATGGAAGGATATTATATTCTTAGCTGTAAGTAACCCTTCCTTAAAGGAGTTCTTTGTGTCTAATTTCAAGATTGTGATTGGGAATGGTCTTAGGACAAAATTTTGGCTGGATGTGTGGTTCAATGATCAGAGTTTAGCTCTTGTTTTCCCTAGACTTTTTGCCCTTTCAGTTGAGAAGGATGGTTCAGTGTTTGATTTTTTTCAAAGAAAAGATGGGGGTGATGACTGGAATTTTATTTTCCGAAGATCGCTTTTTGCTTGGGAAGAGGGGGAGCTTCAGAACTTGATTGGGTATCTTCAGGGGGTACCTAGCTTAAGAACTCAAGCAGAGGACTCTTGTACATGGTTGGCTCATCCATTCGGAACCTTTTTTGTAGCCTCAGTGAGGAGTTGGATAGAGTCAAATAAAGGGTTTAATCTAAGAATTGCTAAGGCCATTTGGAAGTATATTGCCCCTCCCAGGGTTCAATTTATGACATGGTTAGCATAGAAATATAGGATGAAATCTGTTGTCTTTATGCAAAGGATTGGAGTGTTGAAGCCTGATGCAAACATTCTCTGTGTCTTTTGCAAATTTGAGGTGGAGTCAT